TCCCTACATAAGTAACTTGTATTATAGCATTACCTGTTACACAAGATGATAATTATATTTACAAAACACAAAAAAAAGAGAAATACGAATTAAAAGTAATTAAAAAAAAAAGAAAATCTTAATCCTTAAAACCTTATCCTTTTTGAAACATTTTCTATAGAATAGAATATATTCACAACATGACGTAAATATCATTCAAAATTAAAACATATATTTGCAAAATTTGTTTTTGTTAGATATTAAATTTTATATATTGTAGTATACATGTAATATAGATAATATAGATAATATAATAATTGTGTATATACATTATAAATTATATTTTTGAATCTATTCGAAAATAGACTAACTTAAAAATATTTTCTTTCACATGTTTACATATTTTATATTAAATGATACATTTAGTTGTGATAAATAAAATTACTTTTATAATACATATATATATATATTTTATGGAATATTTTTGAGCATGACGTTCTTCCAGATGGCAGTCCTATGTTGCGACAAGGTGACACTGGAGATTGGATTGGTACATTTGTAGGACACAAAGGGGCAGTATGGGGTGTAGCGTTAAATCCACAGGCTACTCGAGCTGCAACTGGTGCAGCCGATTTCAATGCTAAAGTCTGGGATGCAATTAAGGGAGAAGAAATCCATTCTTTTCAGCACAAACATATCGTTAAATCGGTCAACTTTAGTACAGATTCCAATCATCTATGTACTGGCTCTTATGAAAAGCTCATACGCATTTATGATCTTAATAAACCAGAAGCAACTCCACAAGTAAATAATGTCACATAAACTAGTAACAGTGTTACAATTATTAACACTTGAAATATAATTCTTTTTTCTTTTATAGATATTTTCAGGTCACACAAGTGGTATTAGGCATGTCACTTTCTTCGATAATAACTCTGCCTTAATTACTTGTGCAGATGATAAGACATTGAGAGTATGGGACAGAAATAGTGGGCAAGAAATTAAGAGATTAGATTTTCCTGCAATTCCAAGTTCCATGGAGGTATCTAAGGATGGTAGCATTATTACTACAACTCACTCTAATATTGTTACCTTCTGGGATAGTAAAGAGTATGTATATTTTTTTCTTTATTGTACAAACAACGATATTAAATTGTTCGTTCTCTATTGTCATCATCTATTGACATTGTCATAATAATGAAAATTAATGATATATTTTCTCGTATAAACATAAATTTTTTTGATATTTAAATTTCTTTATCAGATTAACTAAGATAAAAGAATTTACGGTTCCGACTCAAGTTAATAGTGCCAGCTTGCATCCGGATTGTAATATGTTTGTTTGTGGTGGGGAAGACTTTAAAATGTACAAGTTTGACTATAATACAGGTGCAGAACTAGGTGAGATTTGTCACGTTTTTAAATCTTGCAATTCTTATTAATAAAATGATAAATTTAATTGTATATAATAAAATTCGTGTTCTTAGAATCATTCAAGGGACACTTTGGACCTGTGCACTGTGTACGCTTTTCACCAGATGGTGAATTGTATGCCAGCGGATCCGAGGATGGTACCTTGAGACTATGGCAGACGATAATTGGCAAAACATATGGACTTTGGCGTTGCATAGAGCAGACGCCTGCGATACAAGAAAACGCCGCCATGGTTAATAATAAACAAGAAGTTCCTGCCAATTAAACTGTAAAATCTCAGAGAAGCGAGAAAATATCCGAACATTTTTCAAAAGTCTATAAAGAGACCAATTGGACCAAAATTGGCCGAGTGGATGGATCTCTTGCGAATGAAACATGTTAAATATTTTTTTTATGGGTCATTGTTTATGCCCCATGAATACTCTGTAAATAACGCATCTTTTTAGGAAATAGTCGTCGGCCTTCACCGAACTTGCGTTTTATTTCAGGCTAGTAAGTCTAAAAGACTAAACTTTAAGATCCGTGAAGGCACACGCGCGCACGATATTTATATCACGCTATTTATATTACAAGAAAAACGACGAAAAAAAAAGAAATATTAACATTTATTAACATTATACATTTCACATTATTATAATACAAAATTAGATAGAGATGTAACGAGAGAAAGAAAGACAAGTTCAAAACGAATGTTTTCCATTTTTTATTTTCGATTTTGCCGATTTCATCTATATCAAAATATGTAAAGCGGCGCCGACACGTTACATGCCGCGTACATGTTACATGACATTACGCGACCATCCGATATGTCCTATACGTACCTTTTCGATCCTAGTTTTCGCGGTAACATTACCACAATATACTACACAATAATTTATTGAGTCCTTGTTCATTGCTCGTTTATACGGTCAATTAACGCAGTATTCTTTGTTTGAAAAGTTTCATTCCGTACGTTTGTCTTCCCGCTCTCTTTTGTTTTTCGACGATGCGATCTCGTTTTTCTCCACTTTCTAAACTAAATACTTGCGCCTTATCATCTATATTTACACTCCGGCAGGTACTCTATCCTTTATCTACATGACGTAAAAAATTAAAACATATATTTGCAAAATTTGTTTTTGTTAGATATTAAATTTTATATATTGTAGTATACATGTAATATAGATAATATAGATAATATAATAATTGTGTATATACATTATAAATTATATTTTTGAATCTATTCGAAAATAGACTAACTTAAAAATATTTTCTTTCACATGTTTACATATTTTATATTAAATGATACATTTAGTTGTGATAAATAAAATTACTTTTATAATACATATATATATATATTTTATGGAATATTTTTGAGCATGACGTTCTTCCAGATGGCAGTCCTATGTTGCGACAAGGTGACACTGGAGATTGGATTGGTACATTTGTAGGACACAAAGGGGCAGTATGGGGTGTAGCGTTAAATCCACAGGCTACTCGAGCTGCAACTGGTGCAGCCGATTTCAATGCTAAAGTCTGGGATGCAATTAAGGGAGAAGAAATCCATTCTTTTCAGCACAAACATATCGTTAAATCGGTCAACTTTAGTACAGATTCCAATCATCTATGTACTGGCTCTTATGAAAAGCTCATACGCATTTATGATCTTAATAAACCAGAAGCAACTCCACAAGTAAATAATGTCACATAAACTAGTAACAGTGTTACAATTATTAACACTTGAAATATAATTCTTTTTTCTTTTATAGATATTTTCAGGTCACACAAGTGGTATTAGGCATGTCACTTTCTTCGATAATAACTCTGCCTTAATTACTTGTGCAGATGATAAGACATTGAGAGTATGGGACAGAAATAGTGGGCAAGAAATTAAGAGATTAGATTTTCCTGCAATTCCAAGTTCCATGGAGGTATCTAAGGATGGTAGCATTATTACTACAACTCACTCTAATATTGTTACCTTCTGGGATAGTAAAGAGTATGTATATTTTTTTCTTTATTGTACAAACAACGATATTAAATTGTTCGTTCTCTATTGTCATCATCTATTGACATTGTCATAATAATGAAAATTAATGATATATTTTCTCGTATAAACATAAATTTTTTTGATATTTAAATTTCTTTATCAGATTAACTAAGATAAAAGAATTTACGGTTCCGACTCAAGTTAATAGTGCCAGCTTGCATCCGGATTGTAATATGTTTGTTTGTGGTGGGGAAGACTTTAAAATGTACAAGTTTGACTATAATACAGGTGCAGAACTAGGTGAGATTTGTCACGTTTTTAAATCTTGCAATTCTTATTAATAAAATGATAAATTTAATTGTATATAATAAAATTCGTGTTCTTAGAATCATTCAAGGGACACTTTGGACCTGTGCACTGTGTACGCTTTTCACCAGATGGTGAATTGTATGCCAGCGGATCCGAGGATGGTACCTTGAGACTATGGCAGACGATAATTGGCAAAACATATGGACTTTGGCGTTGCATAGAGCAGACGCCTGCGATACAAGAAAACGCCGCCATGGTTAATAATAAACAAGAAGTTCCTGCCAATTAAACTGTAAAATCTCAGAGAAGCGAGAAAATATCCGAACATTTTTCAAAAGTCTATAAAGAGACCAATTGGACCAAAATTGGCCGAGTGGATGGATCTCTTGCGAATGAAACATGTTAAATATTTTTTTTATGGGTCATTGTTTATGCCCCATGAATACTCTGTAAATAACGCATCTTTTTAGGAAATAGTCGTCGGCCTTCACCGAACTTGCGTTTTATTTCAGGCTAGTAAGTCTAAAAGACTAAACTTTAAGATCCGTGAAGGCACACGCGCGCACGATATTTATATCACGCTATTTATATTACAAGAAAAACGACGAAAAAAAAAGAAATATTAACATTTATTAACATTATACATTTCACATTATTATAATACAAAATTAGATAGAGATGTAACGAGAGAAAGAAAGACAAGTTCAAAACGAATGTTTTCCATTTTTTATTTTCGATTTTGCCGATTTCATCTATATCAAAATATGTAAAGCGGCGCCGACACGTTACATGCCGCGTACATGTTACATGACATTACGCGACCATCCGATATGTCCTATACGTACCTTTTCGATCCTAGTTTTCGCGGTAACATTACCACAATATACTACACAATAATTTATTGAGTCCTTGTTCATTGCTCGTTTATACGGTCAATTAACGCAGTATTCTTTGTTTGAAAAGTTTCATTCCGTACGTTTGTCTTCCCGCTCTCTTTTGTTTTTCGACGATGCGATCTCGTTTTTCTCCACTTTCTAAACTAAATACTTGCGCCTTATCATCTATATTTACACTCCGGCAGGTACTCTATCCTTTATCTTTCGATAAATTTCTTGCGTTACATTCAAGACGTGCTCACCCGCTCTTTCTCTCTCTCTCTCTCTCTCTCTCTCTTTCTCTTTCTCTTTTTCCCCTCTCTCCTTGTATTTAAGTTTTTCTTTTCTTTATAGTATTGAGCTTGAGCACGACCGACCGGTTATATTTTGGGATCGCATTGTCGTACAGTCTCTTAAAAGAAAGAGGCAGTGTGTTTTTTGCGTACAATACAATAATCAGTAAACGAGTTACGACGAGTTTTAAGTCTTCCCATCTCTTTTGACTCAACCAATAAACTGCGAAAGATCGGGCAGTTTAAAACCGTTGAATGAAGCCGGCGTCGGCGAACTTCTCAAGTTGTTCGTATGCGGCGGAAAACCGGGAAAACCAGGACTACTGGGCGTGGTAAATTGTTGTAGCCTCGCGGTAGTCTCCGTGGCTGCTAGAACGAAACCGCATTGAGCGGTGCATACGTCGTCGCGCAAGATCGCTTCTCGAGAAGCTTCTCGTAAAAGTTGGTTGCAATCCGTGACCCTCAGCGAGGCACATTGCGTCTGAAACATGAGAAAAAAATCTGTATCTCTTTTAGGTTCTGTTTTAGTTCTTATCTTGTTAACGATTAGGATGATGACTCAAATGATAGCAAAGTTTTGAAAGTAGACAAAGATGAAATAAACCCTCAGATATCTCGTTAAAAAAACACATTTAGCGAGCAACCACATTATATATATATATATATATATATGTCAATTATATATACAACATCTTTCCTCGTAGGATCTTTCTATATTTATTTCTATTTATTTATCCATTTCTTCCTCTTTCGTCGTCTATATTCGATGCTGAACGAAGATCCTATCCATTTATTGCATTCATCAATAATACGTGACTGAGATGTCGTCTACAACGACCTATCTGCGTATATATATATATATATATATAATTGACATGAATCTTTTGGTACGCGATTTTGACTCTTACTGGCTCTCTTCCTACTATCAATCATTATCCGACATCCTGCGTTCGCGAAAAAGGAGCTTTCATTTAAATTATCGTGTTTCATTATTATGAATATAAACGGCTACTATTTTCTCGTTTGTCGATTATTGAAATTTGAAATAAACAAAATTGTATACATTTGTTTTTATCCGGGCAATACACTTACGCCTTCGGCAGTGCAAACGCAACTGGTGCAAGGTGTGGGAAAACCGGATTCGCCAACAGCGACGTTTCTCCCACCAATCTGACAGCCATGTCTGGTCTCTCGCCAGGCGGAAAAATCCATATGGGGCATGGAGCTACAGGGTACACGCGGGTTCAAAAAATTACTGGGTAGGTCGAATGCCGCCCTTTGCATATCCATTTGATGGTCCATGTTCTCGCACATCACCTTGGACAGGGTGGTTTTGCGGATTTCTGCCAACTGATGCTCAGTGAAGCGGATATTTGGATCATCGGTCTCATACCAAAAACGATCGCATTTCCTCGATTGTCTGAACTGAATGGCGATAATGCATGCGAAGGTGGGCCCGACTAAGCCGCCTTGAAGTGGTCGCTCACTCATACCACCTGGGAACAGATCAATGTCGTCCACGGAGGCATATATGCGTTTCATACGAGCTATCACTTCCGGCGCCATTTCCCTGGACAAATCCTCAAACGTGGTTGCCTTCTTCAGATTACAGAGCGCTCTATAGTGATTATACGACGGTAAACCGTGATCGCGGGCGCGGTGAATATTCAGGGCTATCAGATCCACGCCGGAATGCGGTATACCATGTTGCTCAAACAGATGATTGGTCACCTCGCCGGTGATGAATTGATCTAATGTTTCCATCGGCGTGGCCATTAAGCCGCATATCATCTCGTCTATCATATTCTCCTGGTAAAGCATGTCTGGATTGAAAAATCCATCGCGCAATAAAATGGGCGGATCAATGTTCTGATAGTTGCGGTCCATACGCGGTAAGTGCGGCCGTAGCAACGAATGGCCGATCCGGAAGGCCGCGCTGGCGAATTCATTGAGCACACTGGGATTGCAAGTAGGCGAGTATTCTTTATAGTAACCCTGAGGCAGCAACTTGAGACCATACAAGCTAACGGCATTCCAGCCGAGAATCCTCGGCAGAAACTCATTGTATGTGATATGCTGCAGCATAGCACTAATGATGCGTCGCGTCTCCTGGAACAACTTTTCCCCGTCCCAGTGAAGATTCACCTGTGTTTAATAGATATTATATAATATTAGTTCAGAAAAAAGATAAACAATTTACAATATACATTTTATTATATATATAGATTATATATGCTGTCTATATACAGGGTAGGCCATTTTAATGTATCTACGCGAATATCTCGAAAAGGAGAAGTTTTTCAAAAAAATGTTTTAGACAAAAGTTGTATGATGTGTATATGAGTATTGATTCTTCTTATTTGTCAAATCCCGATAAACATTGGTAAAAAGAAAGAAAGAGGAAATTTACCTGCCGCAGGCCCTCCATCACGCGATTGTGTTCACGCACCCACATAGTGTGCATGACAGCCAATGCCGGCTGCTCCGAAGCGCGGCCGTCACCGCCGATGAAGCAGTATCCCGATTGGGCTTTGCATTCCGGATGCGTCGCTGATTGTGGCAGCAGGTCCCTACCGCGTCTCGAATTCGCCGTGATGTTCATACGGCCATTGAAACCACGTAGAATATTACAGATACACGAGTTCTCGCCGTAAACCACCGACGCGTCTAGGAAACCGGTATTCTGATTCACTTGTTCGCGCGGTCCCAGATGCTGCTGGCCCGGCAGCGATCTCATCGATGGAAAACACATACGTGCGCCCGATGAAACATTCACGGTGGGGTAGAAGTGATCGCCCGGCGGTACTGGAAACGGACTGCATTCGGGATGAACGGTACGTGGCGAATCACATGATCGACAGCTGGGGATTGATTCCTGAAAGCCCTTGTGTATGGGTGTCATCGTTATATCATGATCCAAAAACTGCGCAAACTGCATCACCATCAACGTGTAGCGATTGTGCAGATTCGAGATGTCGGGATGAATTACGGTGGAGATTACTCGGGGATTCGGTAGCAGTGCGCCGGTAACGGAAGTGCTTCTTGGTTTAGAAACGCCATCCTCGTAAGCGGGTGGCAATAGACGAGCAAAGGTCGTCAACGATTTACCGAGACTGGGATTACGCAAATTGTTGCAATGACCTGATAGAGTCCGGTAAGGCGTAGTAGGATCGCATGGAGAGTCGTCTACGGGACACTGCACCTCCTCGTGATTGGTAGGTTTGTGATGATGATTCAGAAAGCCGGAAATGTCGACGTTTTGCAGCAAATCGGAGAATTCGTTTGCGTTGGGAAATCCCAGGACATTCTCCGTATTGTCGAAGACTTGGCGCTTCTTGCGTTCAAGACCGTGCACGCTGTTCAGAATTTCGTTCGTGGCCAATTCGTATATGATGGATGAATTAGCGAGTAGCAAAGCGTCTTTGTTAGCCTTGGAAAAGCTGGCCGCGGTTCCGGCAGCCGATTTCGGATCAACGACTTTCTGTTCTAGCCAAGCATTGTATTCTAGCTGCTTACGCTTAATCAACTTTTCCTCCGCTCTCTTCACCGCTGCAGCGAGCACTTCTGGATTAATCTCCGGCACGGATCGCGTCGGCTCGTATGTGCTCGTGCTTACCGAGTTGTGCTGCATCACAGGAAGTGGCAATGGCTCCTCCATCCACGCCGCGATACTCAACGATTCGTACTGTTCACAATTGATTTTGCTGTTCAGATATGGATCTTGCCGGATAAACACTCTTGGCTGTATCCTGCGAATATCCGTATTCGCGCATAGAATGCCAGCAAGAGACACCTTCCTAATCTCGGTTAGTTGCGTCGCTGTCAATCCTGACGGCGGAATATCGTTCTCGTACCAGAAGCGATCGGAATTTCTTATCGTCACGAACTGCTTCTTAAGAAGACATTCAAACGTTGGACCGACCGCGGCACCAGTGACTGGAGTTTCCAGGATTCCACCCACAATAAGATCCACGTCTTCTAGATTCATGTAGATCCGGCTCAGCAGCTGCGCGTGCTCGGATCGCATTACTCGCGCCAGATTTGTGAAATTTTCGATCTGTGCAGAAGCGAATTTTCAAATGATTACTTCATTTTTGTGGAGATAACATTTTGCTCAAAATTAATTTTTTCAAATTATTTTCTATATTTTATAAATTTATTGATAAAAAATAACTGAAAATGCGGATGTATTAAATTTTATTAGATTTAAGGAAAACATTTAGAGAAAGTTGAAAAAAAAATTTCGGAATAAGACTTAATTTTTCACCTGCGATTAACTAAAGGTTTAATCAAAAATTAAAAAGAAAAGAAAAAGATAATAACGCATGGAAAAATTTTATTTTGTCATCGAGCTTACCTTAATGTTCTCTCCCAAACAATCAATCAGAAATTTGACATATCCAGGTACTCCGTGATCTCGCGCCGCATGCACGGACCAAACAGCCGCATCCGACGCAGCTGCGAAACCAACACGATTGGCCGACGCAGTTATATGATCTTCGATGCTGCCTTTTTTGCCAGCGCGCGTCCACACGAGAGCACGCAGAGCTGTTAGAGCCACCGCGTGATACGTGCCTGCCTTGTTGGACGACGAGTAACCGGCATAAAAACCGTTCGCGAGCGGTCTAAGCTCTGGTTCGATTAGCGCAGCTTCCCTCAATATCGCCGGTATGTATTCGTTGAAGGTGACATGTTGCAGCTGCGCAACGACAATGCGACGCGCCTCCAGAAACACTTTCGAGTCGTCCCAATGCATGTTCACCTCCGCTAGTTTCTCCGCTACGCGATTATGCTCGCGCAGGAGAATCTGATGCAGCAAGTGAAGCGCATCTCGATCGGTTTGATTACATAGTTCGCAAGCGCTCAAATCAACCTTGCCATTCTCATACGTTCTCAACAAATGCAATTTGTCATCGTTGACGCCGTAGATGCCAGAACCATCCAGATACGCCGAAACGCCATTCATCTGCTCTCTCGTCTCGAATTGACAATCGTACACTGTCAAACTCGGTACCGATCGCCAATAGCGTTTGCAACCAAATTTCTCGTCGCGCATCTCGTAGCACTCCGGATGGCGCCGCTCGCCCGTGCAACATTCATCTTCGGGACCCACCGAGTGCACTGTAGCAGCGATATCTTGCAGTACCAGCTCCGACCAAACTGCAGACAGACTAGTCAGACCTTCGTGACTTCCTATCTCTGGAACGGACGTCAAAACACTGGAGATTATGTCGCTCGATGTAGGTAGGCTATGACTGCCGACAGATTGACGTGGTCTCGAGATGCCTAATACAAAAATGTAAACGAGAAATTTATTATTTATCATTTTTTGTAAAAATATTACGTTATTAATGCTTGGTGTATTATTAAATTATATATACGCATACATTATATATATAAAATGCTTAAATTTTTTATATTATTTCTTTCATAAACAATTCAACATCTCTTTTTTAAATTTCTTTTGTATTTATTGATAGAAATTAAATAGAAATTAAAAAATCAAATTATTTGTTAAAGAAAAAAATATTTTTAAATTGTTATAAAATTTAAATATTATTAAAAAATATATTAATAAAAAAAACGAATAAAATAAAATAAAATGGAATATTATAACGCACATCCGTCCAAGTTTTAAGGATCAAAATAAAACTCTTATAATATATGTACCTAGATACAGAATTTCAGTTGTAATAGGAAACGTATTTTCCGAATAAACAACTTTCATCGTTCAATTATGTACATTAATTTTGTTTTTATATTCTACGAGCAAGAGAATATATGTACAGAATTTCAGTTGTAATAGGAAACGTATTTTCCGAATAAACAACTTTCATCGTTCAATTATGTACATTAATTTTGTTTTTTTGTTTTTCGAGCAAGAG